ACGATTTGATGGAAACCAAATTTTAAATCATTGGTGATAAAGTACTTTTATTTTCCTAGGTTGGCTAAAATTATAGTTGTATCTGGTATTGGGTACCGATCGGAAATGGTTTTTTCATTAATTCTTCTGTAGTCAATAACTAAGCTCAGTTTCTGATTTCCACTTTCGTCTAAACCTTTCTTAGATACTACGTGAACTGGTGAGTTATATGGAGAACAAGATTCTCTTATTATACAATCTCTAAGGAGAGCTTTAATTTCACTATTGATAAACGGCGCTACCGAAACCGGATACGGGTAGCTTTTGGTATAAATTGGGTCGTTTGTTTGAGTACGAATGTTTGCCTWGACTTTAGTATTAAACGGCAATTTTCTATTTGAATCGGCAAAAGCATTTATATTTCTGTTCATCATCTCACGAAACTGTGAGTTCATGTGAGATGGAACAGAGTTTTCTTCAATTGTTATTAAATTGCTCTGGTTGCATGAGAGGTATTTAAGTTTGGTTTGACCATTACGGTAAAACAAATATCCTCTTTCCGTATCGATATTTGCTTCAATTTCCTTGAAGAAGTCATATCCGATGATACCATCAAACGTACTTAAATTTGGAAGTAAGTAAAACGTCGAGGTGTGGTCAAGAACGTTCAAAAGACATTTTTTATTTATTAAATTTATACTATTGATTGATCTTAATTTGACGACATTTTTGATACCCTGGAGAAAGAAAAGATTTTTAATATAGCTCTTAGAAGTGCCAGTATCGATTAGAATGGGCAGCTCCTGACCACTCTTAGAAGTTTTAGATATAAAGGGCAGGAGCGATTTTAGTTTAAATAGTTGACTTTTTCAGTTTGTTCAATTGGAGTATCAGATTGGAAATAATTATAGGTAGCCTGATTGTTTTGATAGACTTCGTCATAATTTCTAGAATTATAGTCATGGGGATAATCATCGTCGTATGTTTCACATTCTGGTTCATCATTGAAATTCACCCCTTTTGAGACATATAGTTAATTCTTTGCATTTTATTAAACGGAGTTTTATTAGAAGCGGATTGTTCGCGTTGATTAGGGGGAGGATATTGTTGCTGAATGTTTTTTTTAGGTTATGAAATTGATTACCGCGTTGTTCTTCCCTTTGGTTGAAGTTATATGAATTTTGAGGTGAAAAACATTTTTGATAATATGAGGTCGTGTGGTCGATTTCCATAGGCGATGGTCTGTCATTTTGGGAATTGAGCATACCTCATTGACCCTGTCGCTGACTCGACTGAAAATGAGGCATTACTTTCATCGAGCTGCCTGCAGCGAAAGCTCGAKCGAAATCTTGTCGCAAGTGGCTGATTTGTAGCTCTTGAGCTATTGCGAGTGCAGATGGGAGGTCACGTGGCCTCGCCGAAAATAATATGTCACACATTGGACGCCGAAGGCCAGAAATGAAAACCCGTAATGCATTTTCTCTTGCTCTTTCGTTCATAGCAGCAATGGTTTCGCTATTACCACTAAAACACATATTTTGCTTATTTATTATAAGCGTTAATTGTTTATCAACTCTGTCATAATAGTCAGAAATAGAAAGATTCCCTTGTCTTAACAGGCTTAATTCATTCTCTAACACATACAGCGGCCTTTTGTCGGAATACGCTAAATCTAATCTAGAAATTATTGCTTTAAAGTTAAGGATTGTATTAAATGATGAAAGGGTAGAATTAGCAGATTCGGTTATTTTTTCCGAAAAATCCCCATGGCAATATAATATTTTTCCGAACCTTCCTTATAGTATTCCATTGCAAAATGTGCAGCGGTCCGCCAAGCTGGATATAAAGCAGAATCTCCTTTGAATTCAGGTAGGGATTTTATTAAATCCAACGTTGCGCTATTATCCAAAATAAGGGGATTGATAGATACTGGCGTATAAGTCTGAGCGATGGGAGGAGCTAATCGATTTAACGCTAAAGTGACTTGGCTTATCTGCTCAGCAAATGCTTGTCTAGTGCGCTCAGTAGCCACATTTACTATTTCAAGCACCTGCTCCCTACTTATACTCATATTGGTATTAAAGTAAATAGATTTTTTGTATGAAAAATATTTAGTTATTAATTTCTAAACAAAATTACTTGCGAAATATTGTAGTTTTTAGTAAAAATATGTACACTTGTGCTCACACAATTAAGCCACATAAACGTTATGGTGTACAAATWCATAAAAGTTGAATTTTATTGATAAATCGGAAAAAAAAGTTTCACAAAATTAAAAGAAAGTACTTAAACTTTATTGTACTTATAGTTTTTTAAAGGTAAATTTTAAT